TTAATTGAACTACTTAAGTTTTTTTTATATACACAACGCTGTTAATATAGTTTTTTGAGTCTGTATATGTAATGATTAATCAATTGCTAAAATAGTTGATTATTTCAACAGTCAATTAATCACAATTAGTCATTTCAGCCCTACACTTTTTAATACATTGGGAATACATACAAGATGCAGATAAACAAATAATTCCTTTTTTAACAAGGAATTAATAAAGGGAATTGTCTAAAAATTTAGGCAATGCTTATTGACTAATTTTTTTTTTTTTTTTTTGCCATTTTAGGCAATGCTTACTAAAAATAAACTTGTTGAAGCTAAAACTGCCACTTGAATAGTTTTGGCTAAAACAGACAAAAGTGTTTTTATCTTAACTGCAAAATGTTTATATTTTATGTACAGTTTTGGCTTAATTACTGCTCTGAATATTTTTTTTTTCCCAACCAAGTTACCCTTTTAAAATCTGTATAAACCAGTTAATGATTAATTGGTTATTAAATGAGTTGCCGATTAATTCAATAATCAATTAATCACGGTTAATTCGATTAATCGATCCAGCCCTACTTTATTTCTTTTTATCGCTGCGCACAGCAGCAATAACCGATTGTCAGACCTCAACGTGACCTGAACGGTTCGTTCTGTCAAGCCTGACGCATTTCCTAGAAAACGGGAAGTTCTTCCAGCCATCCATCCTCCACGTCATACCAGAGTCTCGTCTGTCTGCGGCGGCTGATGGCTCGTCTCGGTCCGCCACGTAAAGGGATAAGCAGGCCCAGATGGAGCAGGTCAGATATGCCTGTCTGCGTGATTTAGCCACAAGTCTGGGAGGACGACAGCGGGGACAAGAACCGAGCTAATGTCCCACCCCCAACCATGTCAAACACTTACCACATGGGAGAGGTGTAGATCACTTTGATGATCTCTTTTGATCTGCTCTGCGTGGGAATCAGGATTTCCAGATGTGGTTTCCGACGGCCCTTGACCTCTAGGTGACCCGGCTACTGTGAGAAGGGAAGACTTTCTGTGGCTCTGCTGCACGGCTTATTGACTAGCAGGGTTCGTTAGCAGGTGGAATGAAGGGGTTAAATGTATCTGGTTACAACAGGACTTAAAAGTCCATGAAAACATGAACCTATACATTTGTACAGTTGGCAGAGTGTACTGTAAATAGATATTTAATATTTAAACAGTTAACATGTAACACTTTCAGAAACAAGAATAGTTATAACTACAGATCCAGATAATCCCTGGCATGTTTTAATCTGTATTGGACCTTAGATCAGATGGTGAAATCAAAAGCAAGTCATGAAGACGTGATAAAAATTTTATTAAAAATATATTTTTTATTCGTTAAAACTATGATAGTTTAATCGTGACAGTTTGATCTGACAAAGATAATCTGTGAGCTGCTATTGCTGTCTGAAGAAATGCACTGTTCCCCACCAAAAACAACCAATCAGAGCCAGGAGGAGGGGCTTAGTGCTGTCAATCAACTCATGAACACACTGCTAAATGTGCTAATGGTGTAGAAACAACTTACTGTTACAGGAAAACCATTTATCTGCTGCCATGCTAACTAGCTTTAGCATTCAAGGAGGAACTGGGGATTGACATGATTGACAGCACTAAGACCCGCCTCCTGGCTGTGATCAGTTGTTTCTAGTTAGCATTGGGAGAAGCTTGATTTTTTCACAGACTATCTGTCTGACATGTCATACCAAACTGTCATGACATGGAGACAGTTTAGACAAACATGTATAAAAACATTTTTTGTTCCATCAGTAAAAGCATCTAGAAGTGAGATAATTACATCCTGTTTATTGTATTTTCTAGCGACGGACTGGTGACCAGTCCAGGTTTCATCTGCCTCTCTCTGATTGGCTGGGGTAAACTCGATCACCCCTGTGACCCCGAAGAGGGCAGAAAACAAGCGAGTGAGGCATTTTTATAGCAACGAGGTCTGGGAACATTTTTAGGATGTTCATTAACTGAACTCTTGATGCAGAATATTGGATGTTTACGGGGGACACTAGATCATAAGCCGAGTTGAAAGATTAGACTCCCTGTTAATTATCAGCCTCCTCTTTGATGCTCTTTATGTTGACAGCACACGGTTTGTTTCCAGCTTATCAAAAGCCTCCCTTTCATAAGATCAATCCATTTCTTCGCACAGGCTTGGCGTTTAAAAACCTCCAGACACGAAGGAAAGGTCTCCCTGGTATTTATGTCATCCCCGCAGCACATCTTCCTGCCACACATGCCAAAGATGCAGGCAGTTATTACAGACCTCTGCACTGTCCTGTCTGAGGTAATTCCTATGTTTGAGCTCAGAAAATACGGTGCTGTGTGTGGCATGCATTGTTAAATACCTGTATGGTCACTGAATAAGAGTAGAGGAATGTTTCAATGTAACTGGATTTCTTTCAGAAGACATACCAGCGGTGCTGGTGGATTCTGGATCCAAGTTTTCACAGATTTTCCCACCTTCAAATCACAGTGGCATCTTTTCTAAACAATAGAAAAATGTTTACAGTGGATCAAAAAAAGGTATACACCGCAGTAGAAATGGTTTTATGGCATAAAAACATTTTGGTCAGGTGTGACGTATTCCAACCTGGATGAAAACATAATAATGTAATTCTCTTAGTATTTTTCTGAGGCTGCATTCACTCAAGCCCTGTTTGGTTCATTAAAGTGAACTCTGGTACGGTCTGAATGCATACGTGAACAGAGACCGCTCCAAAAGCAGGAACTAAACTATATCGCAGGGCATTCTGGGTAAATCCAACCAGAACAAATGTGCTAATATAGCCTAGTATATATCACACATCTGCAAAAGTTCATTTCTGTTTATGTTTGTGAAAACGGAAGTTGTGCTTAATGTCTTTTTTACAGGTTTTTGTGTTGTTTCCTTCAGGGTGCAGCGCCCCCACAGACGAGGAGGGGAACAGGTTTTTCCAATTGAGTGTGAAAGTGAACCACAGAAGCAAAATGTTACAACCTAAAAATAAAAATAAATCCAGGAAAATATACAAAGTAAGGACACTGGTGTCCTCATGGCAGTAAAGGAGCTAAAATAAATTAAATAAAAAAAGAAGCAAAAAAAAAAAGTTCATGTAGGGTTCCAGTGCTTATGCAACCAAGTTTTCACTCCTTTTCCAAATATATTTTTAGCATGTATATGTATATTTTGTTGCATTGTACAGGATTTATTTCACGTGAAAGATGGAAAACATTTTTGAAAAGATTTCTTATGGTCTCCTTTTGTATGGTACAAGAACCTGTGAGTTTGGCAGAGCTTTAAAAAGCTTTAAGTAACTCCTGGTCTACAACATGATGCTGTGCTTTTCAGGTTTTTTCTTTCACAATTTAATTTTCCTTACATTCTTGTTCAGGATGTGAACAAAAGAAGCAAGAAACATCGTTCATGCAGTATTATTGTTTTAGAAGAAACCAATCAATGATTAATTGAGGTCATTTAGTGAAGTTATGAAGTGTACGCCAAGTTAAATTAACAGAATAAATGATGAAATCATCAGATTAAATCTATTTAGATAATAAGGGCAGCAGATGGAGATGGTGGATTTTTAATTTGCTGCCTTGTTATAAAACTAATCACACGCCTTAATGAGCGATCCGTGTCATGTAGGAATCTGCTGCTAAAGTGAGAAATCAGTAAGAATGTGTTTCAAATTCCAAACACCACAATTAAACTAACTCCAACTCCAAACAACTGAGCAGCTTCATTAAATCCTGCTAAACCAGCAGCTGGAAACCTTTGAGTCATTCAGCAAACCAAACATATGATGAAGCACGACTCGGTTTCTGGAAATAAATACACACATCAATAAATCAGTAAAGTTAGAAGTAACATCCAGAAAAGAAATGTGTTGTTCAAATCTGGAATGTAATGCCAACTGATGTTATATTTAATGATAGTAAAACATTTAAAGGACAGACAAAACAATATTGTAGTAAACTGTAAACAATGTAAGCTCCTGGTTGTGAACTAATGTATTATACAAGAGTTAATTAAGTGTTTAACCAAAAATTACATGTAGTCTGCCATGTTATTTTGGTTTAAATTAATGTCTAAAAATAGTTTTAGTGATGTAACGAAGTGACTATAAGAATATTTCTATTTTATAAATGCCAGAACAATGAGAGAATTTTTTTTATTAGTTTGAGCCGTCTGTTTACATGACTTCAGTGACTGGAGGTACTTTTTGAAGCCAGTAAAACTTTTCGGAAACTACTTGCATGTTATTGTTCACATCCATGACGTTTTAAATTTCGCGCTTGCGCACAATGCTGGAGGGCAGAAAGACGATTTTTTTACACGCCGTCCGCAGCCGCGCTAAAACAATCCCGTAAAAAATTAAACATGGAGATGGCGGTATTATTAATTTAGTGCTATGAGCCGCAGCAAACGGAAAAATAACGCAGAATAACCGTTAAAATATAAGTCAAAGCCACTTTTCCCCCTCGCTCTCTATGTGTCGGCTACGCTACACGCAGACGCGTTGCCATAGCAACTGATCACAACGCCACAAAATGTATCAGGATCCAACACTGAAAGACACCGAAACATTTCCCACACAAAGAAGAGAACATTCAGCCAGCTACAGCTCTGTGTTTTTAGGCTTGATGCTTATTTTGTGCTTTTAGCTGCTATTAGCTAAGATAACAGCAGTGGCTGATTAGCTCATTTAAATATCTGCTCTACTGATGGTCTGTTAGAGTTGGTGTTTAGGTCACCTTTTTTATATTTATTTTGTCACAAAATTACAAAAAGGTTGTTAAAGTCTAAGACTAACTGACCTACTTCCCTCTCCCTCGCTAGGAAGAAGTTTTACTTAATTAAAACTTTTTCCTTGCCTTTTTATCTAGTTCTGATAGTGACAAACACACACACTCCTAGAACCACTCAGGGATCACAACTGATTATTATTACTGCCAGAATTAGCAACAGCAAATGAAAGCAGAAGCATAACCTCATGCTGACGTCACACTTTTTCTCCTGAAAACATTTACAACATCGGTGCGTCAGCGAAAATAAAGACTTTCTGGAATGTTATTTCCTGAGCAAGCAGATATGAAGACTCTTGTAAACCAAACAGGAGCGACACTTTGGTTCCCAGTGGATGGCGAGGAGAACAGGAAGCAATCATTTGACCAGATTGGAAGTAAGAACAAGTTACGGTCACTCTCCTCGCAGACTTGTCATGCAATGCTGATGTAACACGAAGAGGGCAGCTGTTTACTTTATATCTCAGAAATGCGGAATAATGTCTTCATTTCCCTTATGGCTGGTAAAGATTCAGCTGTTGCTCAATAACACCATCCAAACATCATTTTATTCACATTAAACCTTACAGAGAGAATTACGTAACGGCCGCTCGCTGTGTGCATGCTCTGAATTCCAGCATGCTGGAACAAGTTTCCAGAGTTTGAAGCCCCTTTGTAACAAAGTACAGACTCTGCCAGAGGGCAGAAGATAAATCAAAACAGCAAACAGGACATCTCAAATGATCTGAAGATCTGCTCCGGCATGACAGATAATACTCTGCTTTCATTCAGTGACGTGATCATGACTTTAGATGATACACTACAAAAACACAAAATCTTACCAAGTAATTTTGGTCTGGTTTCTAGTCCAAATAACTTAGCACACTTGAAATAAGACAAACCAACTTAAAGGTAACTTTTCAGCCACATGTAGAGGTTTTTTAGAGTAAATAAATCTTTAATGTTGCTGAACAGAACTAGTTCCCATGGCAGATAAATTAACTGATAACATGGGAAAAATGTATTGCTATAAATGAAACAATCTGCCAGTGGAACTAGAAGTGGGTTGCTAGGTAACAGGGCTGGGCTGGCTGGGGTTGCTAGGTAACGACATAATGCCCGTTGATTGTGAACGGGCATTCACAATCAACGGGCACTAGTTGGAACTAGAACTTTTTCATCAATATTAAGGAATTATTTACTTAAAACAGCTCTCTATCTTTCTTAAAAGTTATTTGTAAATTAGTGAGATTCTTATTTCAAGTGTATGAAGATATTCACACTAGAAACTAAACCAAAATTACTTAGTAAGATTTTATGTTTTTGCAGTGAACCGCTAAAATTACACTCCTGTGATACCAAATTCTTGTTCTGGTGCAAATCATGGGTATGCATTAGGACAGGGGTGTCCAAAATGTGGCCTCGGGGGCCGTTCGTGGCCTCTGGACTGATTGTGTGTGGCCCCTGACTTCAGTTCAAGAAGGATATAAATCTGGGCTCCCAGTACAGGTATTTAAAAATGATCACAAACAACTAAAATATTCTTACAATAGAAAACAATGGCTATAATCAGAGGTGGACAGAGTACCCAGAAATTGTGCTCAAGTTAAAGTCAAACTACTTCAACATATCTTTACTCAAGTAAAAAGTAGCCATCCAAGAAATTACTCAGAGTAAAACTGTGTTTGGAAAAAGTCTACTCATGTTCTGATAACTGATCAAATGATCAATCCTTTAATATTTAAAAATTGTATAATCAGACGGACCAAAATATAAAGTTAAGTGGAAATTTTGGTAATTTTAAAAATGACAATTCATATTTAAATAATCAGGCAAAAAATTATTCTAAATCAGTTTCTTTCAATAAAAAACTGATGAAACTTTAACAAATACTGCAGTGTCTGTTTCTGGTGAATTTTTGGTTAAAACATGTTTGTTTTTCTTTCAGTGGGTGGAAAATCCAGAATTTTTACTCAAGTAAGAGCAGAGATACTTCATAACTCAAGTGAAAGTAAAAAGTACAGAGCAGTAAAAATACTCCTAAAAGTAATTTTTTTGTAACTCGTTACTACCCAACTCTGTTAATAAGAAGTAAAAAGCCAGAGGAGCACAATGGAGGCAACATCTTGACTCTTGGCCTCTCGCCATCCCATCCTCCCAAATTCCAGCCTTCACCTTGACCAAACTTTGTTCACTTGCTAAATAAGGCACAGAAGCCAAGGCGCTACCTCATGGTGCGTGTGGTCTGCAGTAATTCAGGACGGCCCGTCGCCCACGCTCACACAGAAAAGCATTCTGAGATACAGCCGCAGAGCAAGACGCTGTTTAGACTACCCACAATCCCATCCAACTCTTCCCCCCGCAGGCAGACGGTCGGCCTGTGCCCCCGGACTGCGAGCGCTGTGAAACCTTTCCTGTCAAAATGAAAATAAATGAGTTTAAGGAGCCGGAGAGGGAAAAGGTAAGAGGCAGCTCAGAAAGGAAAACTTTTCTGAGAACTGATCAAGCTATGCTGAACATTCAATGTCTAGCTGATGACACCATTTTTTAAGGATTTAGAAATGCTAGCAAATGACTATTAAAACAACTGAATGTCTTTGTCACATGAGCCAAAATCACCAAGTCAAATTGTGCAACTGTATGGTCAATGGAAACGCAGCTAGTGACTGTTAGATCAGGTGGAAGCGAAGGGTCAAAAGCACCTGTGTGTTTCAACAACACGCAAAAATCACAGCACCTTCTAGTGGCCTAGCATGACAACTACAGTCTTGACAAAGTGTGAAACTTTTCCCGAATCAACTTCTGAAAATACTGGCAGTTTCCAGTCAGCGGTCTCGTGTAAATGTCCCCTCATGCCGACGCTTTGTGAATCCAGTTAAAACTTTTCAGGAAGTTTGAAATTACACAGGTGTGAAAACAGAGACAACACAAACCGCACGGCTGCAGGGTTGTTTACGAAAAGGAGGGTAGTGATGCCAAAAGAACATGCGCATTATGACTATATGTCAAAATCACAGCGCCCTCCAGTGGCGTGGCATGATAACTGCAGCTGACTTAAGACAGTCTTGTCTAAAGCGTGAAATTTTTCCCAAATAAAAATAATGTTGGAAATCCTAAAGTGGGAAATGTTTAGTCTGAGCTTCTTTGAGCTTCTTTCTCAGACAGTGAGAAAGAAGCTCTACTGATTGTTTTAAAACAAAAAACCTGATAAAAGATCTGCAGTCCATGATACGTTTTGAATAGACAGCTTTCAGTTTTTCTGTTTGGTATTTTTTTGTTTTCAACCATGTTCCTCTCCTCGTTTCCCCGGCTCTCACAGTCGCAGAGTGATAATGATGCAGCTTACTCAAGAATGGGTGTGAACGCGGGCAAAGCACTGTGTCAACATTGCACACAACTGGAGCTAAACCTGTGAGTTATGAGCAAGTCACCATGAACCTTGTGAGTAAAAACACGAGTAAAAGTGGAGAAAATGACAAGAAGTGCCTTGTTTTTGAAGGCTGGTCTCTGTTCCATGTGTTCACTTCACCGGACAAGGAGAGGCTTGTTTACCTGACAGACATCCAGTTCACAGCGTCTCCATTTGGGAACGGTGACATCAGTGGAACAGTTTGGACCTCAAAGAGAAAACTGAGGTTAAAACCGGATAGAGAGCTTTTATTTGAAGAATATTGGAATTAACTTTAAAAAACGTTAAACTTCTACTGCTCACAGTAAAAAACAGAATTACACAACAAATTCTGGAGTTATAATCCAGAGTAGGGAAATATAACTTTTAGTATTTATTTACAATTAAAGCAAAAAGAAATGACACTGAAAAAACACATCATACCAAGTATTTCTGTCAGTTTATAGTGCAAATATTTCAGAATATATGGAATAACTTACAAGAAACTTTTCAATAAGATATATTTGTTTGTTTTAAGTCAATAATTCCTTTATATTGATAAAAAGTTCCAGTGGCCCAACACTGTTACCTAGCAACGCCAGCCAAGCCAAGCCCGTTGCCAAGCAACCAAGTTCTATTTCCACTGGCTGATTATTTCACTTATAACAGAACATTTTTCCCATGTTACAGGTGAAATAATCTACCATTGGAAATATTACTTAAAATGAGCTCCTGTTTCTTGCTGAAAAGTTACTTGTGAGTTAGTTTTGCCTCAGTTCAAGTGTGATAAGACATTTGGACTAGAAACTTGACAGAAATACTTGACATGATTTTGTGTTTTTGCAGTGTACAATATTTACACATCATATTAATGGTGCACAACATCCAAGTGAAATGATGTTTAGTTTTATTAGCTTTATTTAGCTTTCCTGCATTTTTCATCAAATGCAGGAAAAGCTATTTATTCATATTTTAGCATTTGTTATCTTGTTATGGTCCAAAATGGAGATTAGTTTGACACCACCGATGTACAGTATTCCCAACTTGAAAAAAGAATTAGAATAAATCATTCAAGGTCAAAAATTAATATTCATTATCAGTGTATGTAAACTTCTGACTGAACCTAAATGCTGTAAACCAAATATTCAACCTCCCAACTTACTAATACAGAGGAACCATAGTATAACTGATAATGGTGAGTTTGAAGGAAAACTAAAGGCTGTTCTGATGAGCATAAAAGAGAAATGTAGTTCCCATTTTGCTGCTCAATCCTGGACTCTCTGGAGGAATCTGTTGAAGAACAAGTTGTGAAACGTTGCAAGTTGCAAAACATTCTGATTCTGGGTAGGCTGCCAAGTAAAATGAGTTTCTCCAAATACCTAAAGACCACAAAGCAAGAGTCGAAAAGCACATTTACTTTAACTTAATTAAAATTATTGTTATTTTTGCTTCTAAGCTTCCATTACTGTTCCCACCTTGCATCAAGTATGCCTGTATTTGTCCAACTGCTGTGGACCACCCACAGCATACAGGAAGTGGCACAATTTCTACATTTAAAATACGATAGACAAACAAAATTTGCTCCGTCACATAACTGCATTTCCACAGTTATGTTGATTGAGTCCAATTCTACATTTCTGGTAAACTAGCCGAGGGTTTTGCAGTTTTAGTAGTTTTTAATTTCCACATCATAATGCCACTAAAAGTACCAGCAGTCATTTTTATATACCTGTTTTTTTTTACTGTTAGATTGGAAACAATCTGTCTGTTTACATCATTTTAAGGGGGACATATTATGCAAAAGTCACTTTTTGCATGTTTTTGTACTTCCATTTGGGTTTTGACTGCTTCTATAAACAGTAAAAGCACTTCAAAACAGCTGTTTTTTGGTAATAAGTTAGTGTTCTTTGGTGTCTGGAAAATGAGCCATTTAAAAATCTCCCCATTGCTAAGTCACTGCACCGTTGCCTAGCAACGCCAGCTGAGCTCAGCCCCATTACCGAGCAATCCAAGCAGAGTTCCAGCATCTTTGGTCAGTTGGTTTTATCTCTGTATGGTTTGCACAATGGCTGCTGGAAAAGACAACTTTCTGCTCTACTAATGCTTTTCGAACATGTAAGGTGGTCTAATTGCTCATCTGTTTGCAGCCATTTTCATGTGAGTGTAATCGTTGAATTGGCCAACAGCATTTAAATTGGTGGATTTAAAGTGGCAAGATGCCCTAAAACGCTCTGAGCAGACAAACAATTTTCTGCAAAAATAATGTAATGAACATAATAAATCACCTTTAAACAAATATGAACAAGCCGTTCTCCATTCTCTTTTTCCAAAATGTGTTTTCTGATTATTTTAAGACCCCAGAGTAGAAACAAAATGGCAATACTTTAAAAATGACAAATTTTCCATAGACAATATTCATGAACCATCTTGTCTTTGTTCAAATAGTCATGTAACATTTGAGGCTTTAAATTAGTTTTATTGGCTAGACTGAGGCCAAACCCTGGAACTAGACAAACACAAATTGTCTAGAAGCAACAAATAAATAGATGTAGTAACTTTCTAAAGCTGCGTAATGACGAGTGTGTAGCTGTCTTACCAAACAACAAAATCTCCCAGTGATTAATCTTCCAGGCGACATTGCTTATTAGAGCCTCCGCCATCCTGGAGTTTCCACGGTTTAGCGCGCTTCTACAGTAAATGAAAGGACAGTGTTGCGCGTCCTCCGTAATGATCATGTGGCAGCCACATGGGTCCCACTATGACATCACCGCGGGCCAATCTGACAACACCAAAGCAGCCCATTCATAACTGCTCTTTAACTGGTGGTAAATAACGCTGGTGTACGTTAGACAGAGGATGCATTCATGACAAACAGACACAGGCCAGGATTCAGTTCAGCATAAGATTTATTATGAACTCATCGTGTAAGAAATAACATTGGGTGGGACCTCCACCCATGTTGGTTTACCTGTTAAAAGATGTGAAAAAGTCTTAAAATTACGTTTTAATAAATAATTTCATACCGAAAAAAATCATACTTTTAATTTAAGTACATTTATTCAGTGAAGGGGAAAAATGTAGTGTAATAAAAATTAAATGCAGGACTATTTTGATACCTCGTTTCTATAAAATAAATGCCACTCGAAATTTTTGAAAAATGACTTTTTAGCATCTTGGAGCTCTTAATTATTAATCAAAGGTTTCCTTGAAAATCCCCAAAATGAAAAACAAGAAAACAGGCTATTCAAGTAAGGTAGAAAATGAATGAAATAAAGAAGTCCCCCTCCCAACTTCTCCATATCTTAATTCTGAGCAATGAATGAAGAGTTTTAGGCTGTTTTCACTGCTGATAGACTTGGTTCAAATGCAACATTTGATGCATTTTAAGTTGCCATGGTTCTCTTTCATAATGCACTGCGTCAAACCAAACTATTGAAAAACCTGTTCCCCTCCTCGCCTGAGGGGGCGCTACACCAAGAACCCCTGAAGGAAGCGACATAAAACCCTCTAAAGAAGACACCGAGCATAACTTCCTTCTTTAATGTAAACAAAAATGGAGTGGTGTCAGATTTTAGCGGTTGTAGGATTTCTCATTTGTCTTTAGTTTCTCCAGGTAACGCTAGCTAGCGTTTGTTTTTGTTGTATTTACCTAGAATGCCCTGCGCTGCAGTCCACTTCCTCTGTTTGGAGCAGTTTCAGGTCCGCTTGCCATTTGCATATGCATTGAAAATGCACCAGGGTTCACTTCAATCGAATGAAGACCGAGGCTTGTAGGCGGACGTTTGATTTTTATGGTCCATATCAGAGTTTGATTATTTATTCACACCTCCTCAAACGAACTGGACTTTCTAGGCAAACAGACTGGAGTTCGATTAAAGTGGACCAGGCAGGGTTGGTGTGAATCCACCTTCAGTCAGAACTTAAACGTAGACAGCAGAAAAAATACAGTCACCTTCCTAAAAAAATGGCCTGTCGTTTTCTTTTGCCAAAATCACTTTTGGCACAGAATAACTCAGGCCTTTATTTTAGGAGGGTGACGATGTGGACTGATTGATTTTTTGGCTCCCTTCCCCCAGCATGTAAAAAAGACTGAGCAAGCCGAGTCTCACACCTCTCCTTTTGCCCTTCTTGCAGGAAAAAAATTGTTTCCCATCACCCCTGATGCAGAGTGGTTGCCACGGTGATGGGAATTTTCAGGATAAAAAAGGCAGATTTGCCTCTGCTTGGTGTTCTAGTTGTTAGATGTGTTAGTTTTGAAGCCTTTTTTCCCCACACACCACCTTGTGTCTCATTTAGAAATCATGGCAGGGAGGCAGAGTGAGAGCATGGTGTGATGCAGCAGCTGGCCATGTGCTCTTCCTACACGTGCTGCAGTGCTGCAGTATTCTGCAACAATTGGTCTGTTCAGTCATTGATGCCTCGCTGTGCTGCAGCTTTCAGGGGAGAAAAAAAATCATATCTCATAATGAAGTGAGTTTGCAAAATTAGAGTTTGGGAAAATAATGAGTGTGCATGTTTACAGAGATAAGGAAAATCAGGACAGGCGCCAAAGACAGACAGGGTGAGTCCCAGATTGGATCTTATCAGATGTGGGAAGTTAAACGAGGACAGAGTCAGAGACCACACCAATAACACATATTTATTTTGCAGAAACAGAGCTGAGGAACAGCTAAAAAAAAAAAAAAAGCTCTGCAAGAGGGTGGACAGACGTGCACAGGTGCTGCAGGAGAGAGACGACCGAGAAGGAAGAGAAACAGACAAGAAGGGAGAGGAGGAGGAAGCCAGTGGGGGGAGTGAGGCGAGGTGGAGGAGGAGACTGCAGAAGGAAAAAGGAGTGGGAGAGCAATTCCCAAACAGCTGTCCAGCAGACGTCCGAGTCATCCGGAGCGCAGCGCCCGGAGGCGGATACAGAAGGCAGGACACTGTCAGCACGCCGCAGGAGCAGCACTGCGGCACACACACTCACAGATACACACTTCATCCTGAGGGATACCGGAGCAGGATTCAGATCCAGCCGAGGTAAGGGAGAGATGTTTGACCTCACACTGCCATGCTAACATGATCCGAGTGATGCTGCAGGAGAATTGCTGCTGACATGCATGTCTGAGAAAATGGTTTGAACCATAAAACTATGATCAAGCATTTATAAAAATCTCTGCTTTGCTTTCATTCATGTAACCTTACAGTAAAACCGCATCAGATCCTTAAGATTGTGCTTTTCTTTATTACTACATCTTCCATACTAGTTCTGTACATTCAACATTTCATTTATCTAAACGTTCAGCTTCTTCAGGAGAATTCTGCTGTATCTTTTTGCATTTTCAGCTTTCATACTTTTTATAATATTTTAACTTTTATGCAGATTTTGGCTCCACTGAAATTCAGCAAAAACTTTATCTTCAACAGCCTGTTTATTCTGCCTACTTCAGTCTAGAAACGTAATTCAACTTTTAAACAAATCACAAGATGTTAAGCTATTTTCATATTATTCAGCTTTTTGATTTGAGTTTTTTATATTTTATGCAGATTTTTTTTTTTTACAGTGGCAGAATTCTTAAACTGACATTGGGTTTTTGTTCACTGCTTTTTCACAAACAAAATGCTGCTGTTCATACATCTCTCACTCTACAGAAATAATTTATACATCAAAATGTAGCCATGGCTGTCTCCTCTGACGAAATATGAGCATCATTGCTGTAGGTTTTACGGTTTTCTTTCAAACACGTCTGGAGTTCAGGCATATCACACCTTCCTCCATTGGGCTCCATATAAAATATTCAGAACTCCACAAAATTCAGCTAAAACTTTCTGCTCTTTAAGACTCTCCTACTTCTGGAAACTTCAACCTAAAAACTCCATTCAGCTTTTAAACAAGTCACAAGATGTAAAGCTATCTTCATGTTACTCAGCATTTTGATATCTTTTACGGTTTTTCTAAACTCACGATTTAAGTTTTATGCAAATTTTTCGCTGTTTTCAGATTTACAATGGAATCCAATGGCGTAATTCTTCAACTGGCAGAGCGCGCACTCTAGCAACTTATGCTTTTTCAGCTTTTAGTAATTCTTCACAAACAAAATGCTGCTGTTTGTACATATTTCACTCCACAGAAATAATTTATGCATCAAAATGTAGCCACAGGTGTCTGCTATGAGTAAATATAAGAATCAGTGATGTAGGTTTTATGGTTTACTTTCAAGCACATCCGGTGTGCAGGCATGTCACCCCTTCCTCCATTGGGCTCCATATAAAATATTTTCAGCTCTGTCCGTCTAGTCAGCTGTCCTCAGTTTGTCTCCCTTCAGCTGTTTTCAGCTCTCTTCAGCAGCTTCTTTCAGCAGATTAGCATTCTCATGGCTGTTTCGTGAGGAACAGCAATTTTTCTAGTATCCCTGTTTTCCAGGAGACATTCATATTCTGGCTTCACGCTTGTAAAGAAAGCTTGTTTGCTCTGCAGAGCTACTCTTGGTTTTTATTTCTACCAAGTCGAGGATTTTGAAGAGGCCTTTAGCGATACACAAGAAGAACAGTGTTGATTTTTGCCGGCACATGTTGACATTCTCTTCATGTTCAAGCGCTTTGATTCAGTTCCCCTGCTTGCATCTGCCAAGCAAAACTCTGGCAAGTGCCGGCCATACATGCGGGTGGCACGAGGGGAGTGAGAAAGAAACACAGAACAAATACTCCACCCTGCTATTCATCCAAGCCACTGGACTCTTTGAAAGCAAGGCCTTTGCCTATAATTGAGGAAACAGCTCATTGCATTTTGTATTTTGTAAGGCTGCCATTACCCTCTGTGGCATGTTCTTTTTATAACAACCCCAAACAGAGGGTCTTTCTGAAATGCAAAGGCGTGACCCAAGTCAAGGTCATAGTTTGACATCAAGAGGGGGATTCGGTAGCATCATTGTTGTTTTATAGAGAGCATGGGAGGAGCTGGACTCTTTTTACTTCCAAATTCTCCCAAGAAAGGCACCATGTAGATTAAAGTATGGTGGTTTTTTGTGTGTGAAAGGTCACTCTGGTCATCCTTCGATGGATATTTTGGGAAGTGCACTGTATCTATTTTTAAAAAGAAGGTAGCAGCTGCTTGCAGACTGTAAAGCATCAGCAAACTGAAGCGTTTATTTAGACTACAGTAAGATTACGCTGCATCTCAGAATAATACCGAGCTGCTGATATCACAAGCGCCTTTAAGGTGTCCAGAAATACCCGGGCAGATCACGAGCCATTAGCTTAATTACCCGATACCGGCTCTATATTTATCGGCCTCCACACTCAAAGCTTCATCACCTCGCATGCATTGCCTTGCCTTCCAGTTTTAAGTGGCTGGAGTGGCTCCAGATCCCTGGTAGTCCAGACATACACTTTGCTGACCCAATGACACTGTTTTCTTCCTGCACCACTCCCGTTATGACTGCATGACTGCTTGGGCAAGCATTTCTAAGAGGAAGCTGCCATCAGCTTTCCATCTTCCCAGGAGGTGTAAATGAAACCCAGGGCTGCAATCTGTGGTGGCGACATCACTTAGATTATACTTCGCAGCACGTGCCGAGCTGGTTTAAGTTTTGGAGTCGATCCAAAAGCATGGTGTGAATCTAGGGCTTGTTTTGCTAGAATACACCTGTTCAACTGTTAACAGCCTACAGTGACTCGTGAAATCACTCAGTCAGCAACTTCAATTAACTTTGTCTGTTATTCAGCATAGAAGTCTCCAGCGTCACATTTTTATCAATCTGATAATTATGAATTTGCATTTTGATCCCTAGCCAGGTTGACAAACTATTTTTGAACATATTGTATTGGTAAGATTGCTATGTGATTTATAAATCAGCCCCTTTGCAACTGTACTGATGTTTTAAGTTTTATCCAATCATTAACATTAACGTAATGCTCTAGTTCGACACTATAAGGCTTACTAGAAATTGCATCCGCAGTGCGAGTGTTAATGTTAATTCACTGCAAAAACTAAACTACAGGCAGATTTCAATGCTAAAACAGCAAAGAAATTTTGTTTGGTTGAAATTTAGCCATAGAAATTTGCTTCAATGGGAGAAATCTCATTTCATCAAAGCTGGAAAACTGATGGGAGATGAGTCTAGTGGAAACTGCATAGAACGGCAATGGCCATGCTCATTAAGTCTTGCAGGAAAAACACAATGACAACATAATTTAATCCCATAATATGCAATGCTGATACTTTGTGTGTGCTGCTGAAAATCTGTTCACCAAGAAGGCTTGGAGCAGCTCTAACTATCGGCAGCATGACCTATTTTCTGTTTAATTCAATAAACAATAATTTGACTAAATAGTGGGGGGACTCTTTCATCCTCAAATGGTCAAAGGATTCTTAAATATAAGAATAAAGAAATAATCAAACCATATATCCGCTTCAATACTTTACACTTAAACCAACCTAATTCACATGGAGAGATAGGAAACTTAGAGACCAGCTTTAACAGATTAAGGTTTCATTAAAGCTAAGGCATTGAAGACTGGCATCTAATTATAATTTCTCTCATGTTTTGCTGATGTCCCCTTGAATTCCAGTCATTCCTGCCGTTAAAGCCCAGCTGACCCTCCAGCATGAAGCCTGACGCGAAGGTCAGCCGTTCAGGCTTTCACTGTATTAGTTGCCTTCTCATAGACGGCAAGTGGAAACCTTAGAGTACCCATATTGGATTACTCCAAACTTTTAAGCTGTTTCTGGACAAATGACCAAGCTGTGTAAAAGTGTTTTATGAAACATATATCTTTAATATAATGTTAATTGCCAGTAAAAAAGCAATTACTCGGAAATGAATGATGAAATACCTGCACTCCATGAACATTCTTTGAATGGAAGAACTGACATTTGCATTGAGACTGAAACAGGACAGACTTGAGGAATGTTGGACAATATAGTAGACTTTCATCTGAAACTGATGAAAATGTTCTTTAGCTTCTCTCTTCTGTTAAGATAATCTGTTTTATTGTTTTGAAGTTTCGTTTCATTGTTTTTCTTTTTCAACTGTTCTAAGCGAAAATAAAATAAAACAAAAAGAATAAAATGTACTGGATATTGACTAACCACATGAAAGAGTATACATAGCTCTCACTAGGCGTTACATGTCTGTGAACTTTGTAACTGGCAGCCATCTTGGCAGGCAGTTGCTATGACAACAATGCCACAAGCCTAGAACTAGCTCTCACTTCATTCCTACAACATAAACAAATATGTTACAACAATTACTCAATTACAATTTTTGAGTAGTCTAACCCCCCTATGTGTAAATACTAAGATAAATATCAGTGATTTACTGTAGTACTTGCTGCCAAACTAGCAAAATTAGCTAGGCTAATGCAACTTTTACCTGCTAGCTAAGACAGACATGTAGCCTATATGTTTGTTACAACATTTACTTACTCTGCCAGTCACCAGAGTTTGTACATCTTTTACAAACATTGATTGTATTCATCCATTTTGTACGTACTCTTCCTGTTCACTAAGTAGTCAACTATATCGCAGTAGGAGAGCAGAAGCAGATTGTCCGCCATCGTCTTGACAGCAGCCATTTTGTTCATGTATGTTTCTCTCACACATTGGTCAAGATATTTTCTTTTTGTTGGCCTCGAACCGCACGTCAGGATTCATACAGTCCAATGGAAAGACAATTGTAAAATATTGTTTTACAAGATGAGAACAGATGATTCACATTTTCATGTTGTTCCTAAATAAAAATTTGAATTTAAAAACAAACAACCAAGTGCAGTTTTTGCTGTATTTCCTTCTACTAACTTCTACCTCATCCTACTTTCTGCCTCACGCGTGTCACACCTTTCACCGCTGCCTCTCACCAACACTTTCACCAACCCTCAAGTTAAGTTCCCATTCAACACGCTCGCACACATCCTCCCGGCTGTCAGAGCTATATTTAACACCAATGAGCTCATTGAGTGATAAACTGAGATTTCGCCTCGTAAACCTCATTTTCAAATAACGGAGGAGTTGTGACGAGAGCAGCGGCCGTTTGGATTCAAACGCCCAGTGTGTGTGTGTGTGTGTGTGTGTGTGTGTGTCCCTTAATGGCCTTCCTGAAGAAACACAAACTTGTTAAGTGACTCAGATAAGGAGGGAATGGCGGTTCGGTTGGCTGCTGCAGGAATGTGGATGTTTTCCTGAGTGAAATGTAAGGTGTGGACCAGTCCGGCCAGGCACTCTCTGCTAATTAAATATGTCTATAAATGGGAACGCGCTCGTCTTACTCACAGGCTGTCACCTCCCTTCAGCCACAAGCTGTTTTACTGACTGTTCTTCTATTCCATTAGTTTCTAAACTTGGTGACATTCTCCAACGGGTTTAAAATGGAAAATGTCCTCAATTTGACCAAATTCTCCATTTCTGTAACTTAGCTGATGATCATATGCAGTTGGGTAGTAACTAGATACATTTACTCAGTTACATCTACTTAAGTAGGAGTATTTTTACTATTCTTTATGTTTTACTTTTACTTGAGTAATTTTATTATTAAGTATTTCTTCTCTTACTGAGTAAAATTTCTGGATTTTCTCCCCACTGAATGAAAGACAAACATGTTTTAACCAGAAATTCACCAGACACAGACACACACCTGCAGTTTTTGTTAAAGCTTAAATTATTGTCATTTAAGAGTGAAGAATGACATTTAAGTGCCATTCTTCACTCTTAAAATTGTCACTTAACTTTATATTTTGGTGCATCTGCACTGCAAAAATACAACTCCTACCAAGTATATTTGGTCTAGTTTCTAGTGAAAATATCTTAGTTTGTCTTATTTCAACTATATTAACATAAAATGAACTTTTAGCAATATATATAGAGGCTTGTTTTAAGTAAATTATTCCTAATATTGTTGAAAAAGTGCTCGTTCCACTGGCAGATTATTTAACTTATTTCACAATCGTTACCTAGCAACGCCAGCCAAGCCCGGCCGTTACCTAGCAACCCAGTTCTACTGGCAGATTATTTCACTTATAAAAAGACATTTTTCCCATTTTACAAGTTAATTTATCTGCCAATGAAAAATACTTTTCATCAATAATAAGGAATTATTTACTTAAAACAAACTCCCGTTTCTTGCTGAGAAGTTACGTTCAAGTTTGTTTAGTCTTATTTCAAGTATGATAAGATATTTGCACTAGAAACTAGACAAAAATATTTGGTAAGATTTTATGTTTTTGCAGTGCAGATGGACCAAGATATAAAGTTAAGTGAACACTTTGGTATTTTAAGGACCAAAATGACAATAATTCATATAAATAATGTAATTTTTAAATATTAAATGACTGGTCATTTGATCAGTTACTTGAACAGACCTTTTACCAAATACTTTTTTACTCTTACTTGGGTGGCTATTCTTGACTTTTACTTGAATAAAAATATGTTTAAGTAGTGTTACTCTAAGTTGAGTAAAAGTTTTGGATGTTCACCTCTGATCTTATGGTTACAACAGATTTGCTCCTCAAAGAAAAACCAGTCCACATTCTGCATCCTGTTCCCTCCTAAGATGCCTTTGCTCTGTAATTCTTCACTCTTATCTCTCACACAATCCCCGTAAAGCCCTGTAAACCCTGTTCCTCCCCTCTTTGCCCTCCTCTAGTGCAGCTCTTTCTATCATGCTGGAGCAGTAGCTCGCTCCAAAAACAGGCTGCCCTGCTCTGATCCCCCTCTCTGCCTCCGCTCGCCCCAATCTGCAGCCCAGCTGTTCCACATTAGCACATCCAGAGCTGGCGCAGACCAGAAGATGTGTAAATGCAGCAGCAAAGTCTGCAGATTTAGGCCTGATCCTCCTTTGCTCTCAAATGCGAGACAAGAGGATTTTTTTCCTAACTCTTTAAGGATGCTGAAAGTTTATTTCTGGGGCGTGTGGTAATGATTTCTTTCTAATAAATCCGTCATACTGCAGCAAACAGTAGCTAAGCCTGCAGCAGCATCTTCCTGATACTTTAACATCTCCAATCTGATCAATGCATTTTATATGTAAACGTATAAAAGGGGATGGAATGAACAACAGAGTATTACGGCCATAAAAAAAATTTAAACTATGAGAATAAAGTCACAAAATTACAAGAATAAAGTTGTATGAAAATAAAAAAATAATGAGAATAAAGTGGTAATACTTAGAGAATACAGTCATAATTTTAAGAAAACGGTATGAAAATAAAAGGGAAAAAATGAGAGTAAGGTGATATTTTTAAAATAAAATTACATAAGAATAAAGTTGTAATAATGAGAATAAACTCATAATATTACAACAATAAAATTTTAATATTTCATCAGTTACTAAACTTTATTACCAGATTGACGTTGTATGAGAATAAAGTCGAAATATTATGACGCTAATAAAGTCAACATCAGTGTCATTATTTGGTAAATAATGGGACTTTCACTGCAAAGTTCCATTAAAACACACATTAAAATGGTCATGTTCATGAAGACTGTCATGGTGTTACATCATGTTTTATGACAGTCATGAAAGTTTTTCCCAGATTTCTCTGTAAACTTTTGAAAACTCACGTTTTTTTCTCTGTTTCGTCTGATTTCAGAAAAGTGTCCCCTCTCTGCTGCCGACTGGAGAGCCGTTTCCAGATCAATGCCGCCATTATTCCTAGACTCCTGCGTGCAGCGAGAGTTTCTGAGAATGTAACTGAAAACCCTCCGCTGGGGAACAGTAACGTTCAGACCTGCAGAGCGTTTTCATCCTAAACATCCGACGCAATCTCCCAACAAACAGCCATGCCGGCCAAAGCTCCCATTTACCTGAAACCCATCAGCAGCAAGAAGGGGAAAAAATGTCGGCTGAGAGACATTTTGTCTCCTGACATGATCAGCCCTCCGCTTGGCGACTTCCGCCACACCATCCACATCGGGAAAGGCGGAGAACGAGACGCCTTTGGAGACATGTCCTTCCTCCAGGGGAAGTATGAGCTTCTGCCTGGAAAAAAGGACGTCCACGCTCACTATGGCAACCAAAGTGAGTATCTGCGAGCGCACAGCACAAGTGACGCCTCCTTCGCCGAAACGCCCTCACCGGTCCTCAAGAATGCAATCTCACTCCCAACCATCGGAGGCAGCCAAGCGCTCACCCTCCCGCTGATCTCCTCCACCGTCTTCCCGGTGCCAGCAGATCCGCTGGAGGACTTTATGAGTCCATCACCTCCTCTGAAAGCCGAAAACCCCGACGAGCTAGAGATGCTGCAGATGGACGCCCTACTGAGGTCCATGGACGTCTTCGACAGCGAGCCTTCGTCGCCTTTCGCCGATCTCCAGTCGAAACCTGACGTCCTTTTGGACCTGCTGGAAGGCGCGAACAAGTCAACCTTGAAGGCGGTTGCTAAGGCTAACAAGCTAAACAAGAGCGAGGGCAGGTTTGAGAAGCCGTCGCCATATTTCATCAGCGACGATAGCTTGCGCAAAGCTAATGGTAGCTTAAACAGCAACGCTAGCAGCGATAGCTACGACAGCTTCGACAACAAGATGGACTTCCAGAACATCGACGTCTTCAACCGAAACGGATACTTTAACAGTGACATTACCGTGGGATTCAAGCAGGAGCTGTCCAAGTGCAACAAGGACTGGGTGGACAGGGACAGCGGCGTGGAGGAGGGACGCATTAGCGATTTTGAGTTTGAGCTTTCCAAGGAGAAAAGCGGCTCACAGGACTCCCTCAGCCAGATCACAGGGTCGCTCCTCTCCCTGGAGTTGGACCTGGGCCCGTCCATCCTGGACGACGTGCTCAACATCATGGATAAACCTGCAGCGAAGAGCCGGCCTTAAGCTGCGCCGCGACGGACAAGTAGGGAATAGCTAAAATTAAGACTTATGAGTAATCAAAATGGTGTCTGGATATATCATTGAGATGAAAATCAGCTACAGTAGACAAAGCTGCTTATGTTTTTATTGTCAAAACTTATAAGTATTCTAGCTTCTATGGAGTCTTTATGTTTGTTTCCATCCCGGCAGCATGTTCAGGATGCATGTGCTTTTGTTTCACCTCCGTTGTGCCTTTGATTTTCAGCTGAACATTTTCATTTTCTCCTGTTGTCCTCCAGGTTAACAGAGAACATTTTCAGTTTATCTAATAATGCACTTTTTGTTGTTCAACACATGGTTTCAATTTACTTTCACATAACACTGCATATTTGTGTTTTTGACATTGTAACACAAATAAATTAATTTTTCCTATTTTGTGTCCTTATTTAGCAGATACAGTCATGGTAAAAAAGAAGTATATCCTTGATTTTGTTTTGTTGGGGTCTTTATCTATTAAAATATTATGTTAAGTGCTTAAAACAAATAGATCCACTAAGAAAAAGAACGATGAAGCCAAAATGGAGAAGCTGAGTGAAAAAATTTAAGTTTGACTGAGTTAGATGATGAAATTTTGAGATCTCAGAATGTTTTTTAGAAAAAACAAGAACATTCCTGATTTCTGAAGAAAACGCAACTCTTGAGATTGTCAGAAATTTTCTAGAAAAAAATGGAAATTTGAGGTTGAAAAGTCAAATATTTTTAACTTTTGTAACTCAGAAATAAGTGTGATTGACAGCATTAAGCCCCGCCTCCTGGCTCTTATTGGTTGTTTTTGGTGCATCTCTTTAGACGGCAATAGTAGCTCAAAAAGAAGGTTTCTCTTCACAGATTATGTCTCAAACTGTCACAACATGGTGACAGTTTTAACAAATATGTAAAAATTTTTTATAAAAGCTACCTGCTGCAACTTTAATTAAAAGAACATGAACTTTCTCATTCCTCCATTAGAACCATAGAGGGACACAGAAAGGCTGCAAAACTTACAAACAATCCCAGCAGGAAACAAATAAGTCTCAAGCTGCGGAATGGAGCCACAGAGCGTATTTATTGTGCTGCCTCTCACATTCCTGACATTCTGCCTCCTTGCCCTGCTGTGGGAGCCTCCGTGGGCCTTCATGGGCCCGGCAAGGCGCCTGCTCCATGTGTTAGCGTGGGACAGGCGCACAGCGGAGGGGAGCATCTGACATTCCTTGGATTCCAGCCACAAGTGTCCAGGACCGGACATAAATCAGCTGTTTCAAGTGAGGAGGAAGGGACACGTGATCCATCAGCCGTAAAGAACAGAGGCATAAAACACTCATAACACACACCGTGGTCTAACCTCTGCGTTTCAGCCATGGAGCTACACTTTTATTTATGCTGGTTAAAAAATAAGCTTTAGCATAGCGGTATGTTGCTGCAATACGATGGATTGCTAGAGTACATGCTAAGAAAATAAAATAAAATTACGAGAATAAAGTCGAAATAATATGAAAATAAGGTTATAGTATTCAAGAATAAAGTCATAATATTACAACTTTTTTCTCGTAATATTATGACTTGAGTCTCCAAATAAAGTCACAAGTCTAATGGCTTTGGTAACACTTTATTTGAAGGGGGGTGAATAAGACTGACATGACACTGTCATAAACATGATATAACACCTGTCATGAACATGAATAAGCCTTCATGAATATTTATGACTGTTGTCATAAAGCGTCATTCGGTAAATTATGACACTTAATATGAAGTTGACATTATTCAAAATGTCTTTGTTATGACAACTTGACATTAACCAAGAAATCATTACTGATATAAATTTGTTATAAAAGTATTACTGATTGCACTTTAAAAATCAGGTAACTTTGTTATTAAAGGTAAAGTTTAAACAGTAATGATTTTCTAGTTAATGTCAAGTTGTCATAACAAAGACATTTTGAATAATGTCAACTTTATTCTCATAATACTATGACTATTTTTGTTTTATTTTAACTTCATTTTCCCAATATTTCAACCTCATTTTTATAATACTATGACTATTCTCGTATTATTTTACCTTTATTCTTGTAATATCATAACATATTCTTATATTATGTTATGAGATAACATATTATTACAAAGACAAACACTGTCGTACATGTTTGTCTATGGGCCTGTTTCTGGTAGGCCCGTAAATCTGACGCACAAGCAGCATCAGCAGCGACAGACGACAAAGGTGCTTCTCTTGGTCCACTGGAAGTTAATTTCTGCTTCAGAAACAATCTAACTGGATGCTGAAAAGACTAATGTTGTTTAAGTTGTGCTAAAAGGAGTTAGCATCTGATAGTTGAACAACCTAAATAACAGATTAAAAACAATAAAAGTTTCTGTTCTTGAGCTCATATGTCTGTTTATTCAATAATTTAGCAACAAAACATTTGTAGATGCATGGTTTTTGAATAAAACGGGATGAATCTTGATCAATTAATTAGAAAATCTGCAATTAACTCGACTCAAAATTTCAATCAACTTCCATCACTGTTTAAGATTTATTATAAATTTTGCTTACAGGATGAATGAAACCAAAACCACTATGCCTGTTGTTTGCTTCCCTTAAACACTTTCGACTGTTCCTCATCCTTTATGGAGAAAACACAAATTTGCTTTCATAAAAATGCTAATTTCACATGCAAATAATTATCTGGTTTCAATCCCTCTTCTGCCAATGTGGCAAACCTCTCTGAAGGCCTCAGAAAGTTCGTAAACAAACTGGGCTAGACGAGGCATCCAAAGGCGCTTCAAAAACCAGATGTTAATCAGACACGACTGTTTCTCCACGCAACAACAAAAAAACAAGAAACAGTGTCGCAGCAGACATCCCAGACCAGTGGAAAATCCCAGCTGAGACTCCAAAGCGTTTGCGTATGTTGAGGTGAAGGATACAGCCTGTGAACAAGGGTAATGAGAACCCTCTCCACCGGGGTAATTACTATGCTTATACCTGCAAAGGTCCATCACTGACTTGATGACAGCCCTCCATTTTGACAGGTGTGGAACCAAAAGCCCATTTCCGCTGGGTTAAAAAAAGAAGTGCAGGACCGCAGCAACGTTGCATGTTTTGTAACATATTAAAAGGTTCTGTAAGCCAAAATACCAGGAAATACCAGAGCTCTGCTGAAACCAAAGCAAATAATTCTCATATGTTAAGAGTTTGAGCAGTCAATTGGCATCCTGCCTTTTGCAGCACTACAAAAACAAAATCTTACCAAGTACTTTTGGTCTTGTTTCTAGTGCAAACATTTTACTTCACTTCAAATAAGACAAAACAAACTTTCAAGTAACATATAGAGGCTTATTTTAATTCAATAGTTCCTTAATATTGATGAAAAAGTCCCATTGATTATTTCACTTATAACGTGAGAAAATGTCTCGATATAAATGAAATAAACTGCCAGTGGAACTAGAACTGGGTTGCTAGGTAACGGCTGGGCTTGGCTGGCGTTGCTAGGTAACGATTGTGAAATCATCTGTTAGTGGAACTAGAACTTTTTCATCAATACTGAGTAAATGCTGACTTAAAACAAGCACCTATAGTTTGCTGAAAAGTTACTTATAAGTTTGTACACTTGAAATAAGACGAAACTAAGATGTTTGCACTAGAAACTAGACCAAAAATGCTTGGTAAGATTCTGTGTTTTTGCAGTGAGAGGTTTGTCTTAAGTAAGACTGATGTGCTTGTTTTTTTTTCTTGCAGAACTGAGATAGCGAGTCATCTGCCTTTAAGCTGCGTCGCTCCTGTCTCGTCTCTCACAGGGAGCCGGAGGGGAGACGAGAAAATACCAAAGATGGAAGACAGGAATAGTCATGGTGGTCTGTTTCTCATTACACGGGGGGCCAAAGTGGATGTTTGACCTGAAGAAACCTTGACTTCGACTGCCTCTGATCCTCCATGTTAACAACACAGAATAGAGCTGGAGAATCAGGCGGCTCATTGTGTGACACCCACAGGTTTAGAACAATATTCCACTTGTTTTTCTGGCAAATCCTGCGTTAGTGCAGCTTGAATGTGTTTCTCGGCTCAGTTGAAAATCTCTTGAGATAAAAATCGCTGGAACATTGATGTGTACGAGCGCGAGTTATGTTTATTTTTAAAGAACTGCACAGCACTCAGCTGAAGTTCAATTATAAACAGATCAAAATCCAATAAAACGTTTTAAGAATCTGATTTCAAAGGTGCTGCCACAGTCAGCAAAACCCAGGTTTAGAGGTGGATGATTTTATGCTTTTAGCCACACATGGACGGCCAGTTGCATTCTTAGATAATGAGATTTCAGTCTGCTCAGTTCTGCCCATTTCCAGCTCCTTTCAGAATGAGCTGTTTTAGGGCTCTGTCACTTTAAATCCAAAGAAGCAGCACCTGGCCACGCCCCCACAACTCAATGTTTACAGTTACGCATAAAAATGGATGTAATGGTGCGCATCTTTGAAGAGCAAAAGTTGGGCCTCCTCCACAACCAACAATAATGCAGCAAGTGGTTTCTGGACGGTAAATCAACAACAAAACTCTTGTCTTTCCCATCAGCCATTGTACAGAGCATACAGCGGTAAAACCAGCAGACCAAACATGCTGGAGCACAGCTTCGGTTGCTAGGTAACGGCACTGTGCCCATCGAGTGCCGATGGACACAAAAAAGCATTAGCTTATTGCCAAAAACTGACTAGCTGTTTTATTTAAGTGCCTGGGTTGTTTTTAGAAGCTGAGCTGAGCCCCAAATGGAAGCACAGAAATGTGCAAAATGTGAATTTTGCATAATAGTTCCCCTTAAGATATTCACAACCAGTGGCCCAGAAGCCACTAGAGCCAAGAAACACACTGCTACGACCCAGCGAAGTTTTCCACCAGCAGAGCGGCATAATGCTCAGTCTGTGCTTCAAACTGCTGATGAAGGAGCTCCTCACAGCCTCATCATGTCTGGAGGAATGAAGGAGAAATTTTAATAAGATGCTTCCCTGCTTGGTGAACCTTGACGGAGACACTAGAGACATGTGGAGTTTGACAGAAGCTCTCTTGTTTTCACCTTCTGAGAAATAAAATGAGCCCGAAACACTTGATTTCTTTTTGTTTTAAGTAAATAAGTCCTTAATATCGATGAAAAAGTTCTAGTTCCATTGGCAGAACATGGAGAAAATGTTTTGTCATAAGTAAAATAATCTGCCAGCGGAACTAGAACTGGGTTGCTAGGCAACGGACTGGGCTTGGCTGGCGTTGCTAGGTAACGATTTGGAAATAAATTAAATAATCTGCCAGTGGAACTAGAACTTTTTCATCAATATTAAGGAATCGATTACAAAAAACAAGTGTCTATCTTGCTGAAAAGTTACTTATGTTAGTTTTGTCTCATTTCAAGTGAACT